GTACTGGTACTGGTCCAGTGTCTGATCCCAAGCACACCCATACCCGCAATTGTATTATATAGATCATCTTTTAACATAAGTAATGTACAGAGTAACAGAGAGGGTATATAACTATCTATTCTCATACGAAATAACTGTTTTAATATCTCTAGTTTACATAGAAAAAAATAATAAATTATTTAGTAATGATTATGCATAATTGAAAACTTCATTGTGAAAAAAATATATATCAAGAATAATATTTATCATAATGAGCAGATGTAATCAAAATATCTTTAAAACTTTAATTACTTACTGTGATTTATAACAGTCAAGACAGTCAAAACTTTCATCATACCTTTTCTTTTTCGGTGATCAACTAGTTATAAAAATGAAAAATTGTTGCTCAGTTATACTATAACTACAACGGAACGACGCTATTCTGAATTATTCATCTTGAATACAATACTATGGCATAGTCTGTTGTCACAACAAAGCAAGACACATCAGTTCGTTTTTTTTTCAAGTAATTTTCTGCAAACATTTCACATCTAGTCATGACTAACTGGAAGAATAATATATTGATGCTTTCTCATTTGAATGTTTAATGCCACTACCAATCATTGTACATATTGGATGACTTAAAGTTATCCACAATTATCTCTGACATAAGCATAAGAACACAATTTATGCAAACAAAAAGATCATTAAATTTCTTTTTTTGTCTGACTAATAGAAAAAAAAATATCACGAGCATACTTAAAAAAACAAAATAAACAATTTCGGTTTCTTTACGTCTTCCATTACTATTGTGAATATAACTAGAAGCAATCAACAAGCATAAACATTCTTGCAAACGTCAAACATGACAACGTCAAAGCAAGATTAAAAAAGAAAAATGTGTGTTTTAAATTGTAGACAAGTAATATTCAATAGACAAAATAAATGAAAAGAAAATCTAAATGACATATCTTTAATGCTTGTCGCTTTTTACAATTATACATCGTAATAATACACTTCTAGTTTTATAAATATTTTAATAGAAATGAAGAGCAATGTACAATAATCATTTGTATTGCTTTACAACTTGAAACACATTGTTGAATATATATATCGATAATTTCACTGTCAATTTTTCGATTAATTGTAAAAAAACAAGAATAGGAATGCTACTTTCAATGAGAACAAGTCTTACTTACAAAAAAAAAGAAAAAAAAGTCAGTAAATATCTTCATTTGTTTTCTTTGTCGATTTTGAGGCTTCATAAATCTTCTCTGTGACGTCAACGGCTTTCGATTTCAATTTTACTGCTCCTAATACGTTCGTAGCCGTCATATTAGCAGCTACCCTACCCGTTTGTGTGAAGAGGGTGTTGGCGGTCAATTGTGTTCCTGTCACAGCAGCTGCTTTTGCAGGTATTGTCACGATAGAATGAACAAAAACTGGTGCTAGAACAATGTCTACTGCAGCTGTACCGATTGCCAGTCCGGCACTTATTTTATCATGCCGTTCTTTTGTATGACCAGCTCGACCAGTTTCAAGTGCAGCATGTGTGACAGAAAAAGGTATTCCTACAACGGGAATATATGAAAGACGTTGAATAATTCTGCCATTACGATTATTGTAACAGTGCAAACAAATTTTGATGCCACCTTCATTCCATTCTGCACAGCTCTTGTTCTTACATTGCCATTTAGGTTTGTTTTTCCGATTCATACGATTTTCTTCATGTAAGATATCGGATAATTGAACAGTTTTATTTACCTTTAAATAGATGCGTTTTTTCATGTAAGCTTGTTGATTTTGTAAACTATTAATCCGAATGAGTACATCATACCACGATCCATAAGCAAGCCTCTTTTTAAAGACGATTGTACATATGTCTTTCTCAAAAGGCCCTGATAACTTTTCCAGACAGATGCCTTGACTTGGAGTAAAAATGTGTGCATCGACTAGTTCGATATTGATATCAATGATAATAGAAAGTGTTGGACTCATTAAAATATTTTATGTGAGAATGATAGAAGAAATTGCAGAGAAACGGACGTTTTATTTATATTCAACCATAGATAGATGATGTCATAGGACATTTCCATCAAAACAACATTTCTTTTTTTCCAAGTAGAAGCTTTTATTAATTAAGACTTGTTGGAAAAATCATTTATTACTATTTATACATAGATGTATGGTAGAAAGAAAAAACACCAAAAGTGAAGAATATTTACATGACGAAGATACTGATAGACCATAGGCGTGAAACACAGTATACTTTCATTTTCATTTCGCCGTAACTCGTCACAGAACAGCAAAGCAACAGTCGTGATATTGACTGATTCAGATTTAATAACGGGAATGACTGAATTCAGTCAAGCGCATAATGAAAAAAATGACCATTACAATGCCTGATTACTTGTAGCTAGATCGTTTCGATCGTTAAACTGCATTTTTTCATTTCAAATGAATAATGGCAAAATTACCATTAAAGTGAATGCTGATTCATTAATGAGTCATTTTGACCATTTCACAATGATGGACTCTGGTTTTTTTTTAGAAGTTTCATATTGGTTCAAAGAAAATTGATAACTTCAAAAAGTTATATGGATTATTAGTGTTTGCTTATCAAATACTTTTTTTAAATAAAATAATCTAGCACATTCTTTCAAGCAAGTAACGCGATGCAAACATCCCTAAACCCTCTACTGAAAGTCGATTTCGATCATCACAGTTTGGTCAATTAGCGCAAACGAAGTAATCAAGCGGATTTGTTTCTTATGCCATAGAACACGATAGTGAATGTTTATTAAATATTTCATATGTATGTATGAAAAGTATGGTTTTTTTGTATAAAAAATAGATTATTCGTTAAAATGTAAATATAATTGTTCGAGCAAAAAAACTTGATACTCAAAATAAAATATCTCCAAATGTAAAATATGTCGTTTTCAGTTCCACCGATGTTTAAAAATTCATTATTTATTTATTTTATTTTATTCAATAATATACAAACTGTACCAAAGGTTTTTCTAAATAGTTAAAATAATAATAAATGTAGTACATGATGTAATTAACGTACAATTTAATATAATAAAACTGGTACTATCTAGAATCGATATTGCTCTATCTCTTGTATAAAATCAATAAAAATTCCACTCAAATTTCTTCATAGATACATCATGTGTTTTAATGATGCGCTTATTTCGCTTTGAAAAAAATACTTTCTCAACTATAATATGATGGGCAAATATCTTAGCTTCTCTTCTATCGATTCACTAAAACTTGAGATCAATAACGGTCTGCATTTAAAAAATATAAAGAATTTTTAATGATCATTTGTTCATTATGCGCTTTACTGAATTCAGTCATTTCTGTTATTAAATCTAAATTAGTCAATATCACGGCTTTTTCTTTGCTGTTCTGTGACGAGTTATGGCGAAATGAAAATGAAAGTATACTGTGTTTCACGCCTATGGTCTATCAGTATCTTCGTCATGTAAATATTCTTCACTTTTGGTGTTTTTTCTTTCTAC